TTTTTTTTTTTTTTACAGATTAATAAAGCGAAATGATATGGTGAAAAACAAAAAGTTTTCTTTTGATTTGGGAGAGCCTTAAATGGCATTACAATGGTTGACTGGAAAGATATATATATATATATATTTTTTTTGGAATGGAAACGGGGAAGGAGTTTAGAGACGGTGGGATGGGAAGAGTGAAGCGTATACCTTTATCCGTCTTTATTGTTATTTGCAGTATACGGTTATTAAATAAATACTCATACTGTGCTTTTTAATTTTTTTTTTCTACCTTTAACATCAATAAATCATCGGTGATGGAAAAAACAGCAAAGGAAGGGAAAAAAGTGATACCGGTTTTTTTTTTTTTTTTTGAAAGCAAACTTTAGTAATCTCACAAAATTTCGAACATTAATGAGTAAACAATGGGAAAATATTAATAAACACAGCAATAATATATTTCAACATTCCTATGATAATGTCAAAAATAGATTGTTCAATAAAAAATTAAAACTTAATGAACCAAAATGAACAACTCGACAACTAAAAGGTTTACAGATCAGGGGAAAAAAAATTTTTTTTTTTTTTTTTTTTGCAATATCGCATCTATTATTTGCTATTTTCACCAATTCTTTCTAAAGTATCTGTAACAGTTTTTCATCTACCATTATTAAGACAACTGCATAAAAAATTTTATCAAATTCAAACGACCAAATGAAATTGGTGTAACTATATTTGAATATCAGCAACGCTGCACTTGCAAACAAAACCAAAGAAAAAAAAACAATGGTAATAACTTCATTCGTATAAAACTTGGGCAATTCGTAAAAGTTTTTTCCTTCACTTAAATTTACAATATAAACAATTTGATGATCCACATAACATTTTTAGCGTAAAATATTTTTTCTTATTAACAACTTATTTAAAAAATCATTCATTAATGCTATGGTTTAGATAAAAACCATTGAGGTATCAAATGTTTACAGAATCATTTTTATCTTTGAAGCAAAAACTTTACTTATTTTATGAATGCAGCTGCATCATTATTTCAACGTATAATCCGTTAAAGACGACGCTATACGGCAGCAGTATACAGATTTTTCTGTTTTGCATTCATCTAATTGATCATTATAATCTTTGGCTTTACTTCAACTTAATTTTTATATTCATTTATATATTTGTTTATTTATATTTATATCAGATATCCTTATTTACATATTTATATATAATAGTTGGTGTGCTAAAATTTGCCACAGCTAATGAGAAAAAACACTAACTTCTTGAATGTTTACGTAATTTCAGCCGTTCAATGCTATGGATACGGCAAATCGCTGGAATGAAAAAAAGCATTTCTGATATGGCTTCATTGCACTCTCAGTCTAACAATTCGTCTAAAGAACCAATCAAAGAAAAAAATAAAACGATTTTTTTTTTCAATGCAGTTTTTTTGCCCTATTTCAAAGTCTTCCTCTTTCCGTTGATCATTAACTAACCGTTCTGATATCACTTGTAAAGATCAAGTTGAGCAATTCATCAGTACAAACAGCGAACAAAAAAATAAAACATGGCAGGTTGTTGTTCGCAGTGTTGCAATAGATCAATAAGAAAAAAAAATACAACGATTTCTCCGCAGTTTTTCGTAATACGACAAATTGTTCAAACATCTAAACTTTTTTTTTCTTTTTCATTTCATGCTGTTTTTGTTGTTTTTGATGTAGTTAAATAAAAATGATAAAAAGATTGGGTTAATCAACCAAGTATTAACCAAAAACTTCTCGTTACTTCCTCTTCCGGTTTATTGGTTGTTAAACTGATGGAAACTTCACATTGATTTTTGCAAAAACAAAAACGTAGAACAAGGAATCCAGCGTTTTAATGCAGAACTGAACGAATTGTAACATCCATATAGAAGCGGAAACAAAGCTTCCATGAAAACAGTCATTATCTGTTCAAAAAGACAGCAATGTTTTGTTAGAATTCAATGTCAAAACTGTTAAATCATGAGTGTTCTAAAAAAAATTATAACA